CGTATGCCTTGCACAAATTTAGGTCGATGACGAGAGTTTCAGTTGAAAAGTATCTCTGATATACATGGAAGGTAAAGTGGATTTAACTTATATATGGTATGTATATATGATGAACAAAATTTGTTATTAAAAACTTTTGAATAAAGAGTAAGTGCTAAGAGAAAAATTTGATAGGTGGATATCTCACAAAAAGTGAGATTGAGAGAAAAAATAAAAACATTTTGTGTGTTTAACAAAAATTGGTCTCTGAGTATTCAACAAATATTTATAAAAGAAAGAGTATAAACTTATATTAATAACATTTTGTATTGTAGTATAATATAAACAGAGATATAGTGAAGATGTCTGGAAAAAATACAGCAACTGACTCCGTGCAAAATACAGCAGGAACGATAGATTTTATAGATTTAGAAGAGCAGCCACAAACATCACAAGGTTCAGTAAATGCAAATACGAGTATTGCAAATAAAGGCAATAACATAACCGGCAACCTAACAGCATTAAATTTTCTTGATGATGCTATTCAGAAAGCCCTCGAGGCTCAAGAATCACTAAATAATGCTATAGAACAATTACGAGGCAATTTAGGAAATACCGAAAGAACACACGAAAACGACCATCAGGAGAACAATGTACAATTACAGAATGGTGACCTACGATTTCAAAGCAGATTAGAGGATAGAGATGAAGGGCAGGCTCATAATGAAACAGATTCCAACTTGAGTTCAGATGATAGTGATTATGATATAATGACAGATCTGTATAATAATTTGCTTAAAAGAAGAGCAAAGAAACATCAACATCAACGTAGTTCTCGTTCGAGTCATTGTGAATGTCCTTTAAGAACTCATAGATGTTCACGTAGTCGCTCTCGTGAACGGTCACATAGACATCGTCATCCCATTCTGAAGAGATTTTCTTGTGATTGTAAAAGCTGTCAATTATGAAATTGCTTCTTTAACTGTGTACGAAATTCATAAGTGCTGAGGTTTTTGCAATTCCATTTAATTTCTAAATTTTCTTTTTAAAAGGTGGTATATATGTTTGTGGTACGATTTATTATATTAACTATTTAATATATAATCAAAAAATAAAAATTGATGATGTTTGATTATAAGTAAAGCAACTTATTCGTGTCATATTTTTAATTTAAAATTTTAATATGTATTGAAATTTGTTATTAAAATAATATTTTGTTAAAAAATCATTATGTTTAACATAAAATAAGAACATAAAAATAAATCAAAAATTTAAAATAAATCAAAAATCAAATAAAATTAAATTGTAATTACAACCCTGCGTTTTAATATTACATATATAGTATATGATAGGGTTGTCATAAATAAAATCATAATAAATATAAATTGTATAGATACTGCACTCATAATTTAGAGTTTCCTCAAGTTGTTCTATTTCAGTTAGGGACGACATTCTGTCACTTCAGATAAACTTTTCTCTTTGGGATGTAACGCAGGCGACAATATCTTAGCTACTTTTAGTCATAACTATATATTATACACTATTTCTTTACTGCAAAATTATTTTATATTTTTTTATTTAATATACCTATAGATTAGGTAAGGTTATACCGGCGATCCTAAGGGATCGATCCTAAAATAATTTTATATTTTCTTATTTAATATAGGTTCGGTTATGTTATACCGGCGATCCCAAGGGATTCACTGAGGCCTATAGTGAATATACATAGATATTTAATATTAATAAAATAGCATTTGTTTTAATAAGTATACTCTTCTTCTTAAGAAAACTTAACTCTTTAAAAAGTAATATAAAAATAAAAACTAACTTACCAATTAAATATCAAGATAGGATTAGTGATTATGTTTATGATTTGGAACACATGTTTAATGGATATATAATATTTCACAATCGTACATTAATTTTGCAGAATATGAGTATTGTAGATGGATAAAAAACAATTGTAATTTGATGAAGTATTGTTTCATCATTTGTTTAGATTAATTTTGTAATTTAATTATTTTTACCACATACTTTTATATATATATTTTTAAATCTATGGTGATAACACAAGTTCTTGATGATGGTAAAAATCTTGATTTAAAAATTTTTAATTTTAAACTGTAATTTTGGTTTTTATAAAATAAAATCGTTTTATTTAAATTTCAAAATTTCATAGTTAATCACTTTCAAATGTGAAGACTTTTCAATTAAATATGAATATATTTTAACATATATAATATGTAATATATTTTACTATATTTTTGGAGTAAGTTTTTGGATTTTTTATTTGGATTTGATATATTTTAAATACTTATCAAATAATATATAAAATCACTAACATAAATTGCAATTTTTTTTTATAAAATATATTTTTTTTATATAAATATTTACATAATATTTTAAAATTACTATATTAAGAGGCAACACTTCATGGGGAGTTTTGACATATGTAGATCGTTCACTTAAGCACATTAACAGAACACAATTTTTTGGAGAGTAGAAGTATATATCTTCAAATAATTTCAGATATTTTATTTCATATAAATTATTTATGCTAAATATTAATAATTATTTATATTTGATATATTTAATATAAATAATTTAATATTGGGTCTTACACTTATGCACATCATCTGAACACAATTTTGTAGTTTTTGATATTAAAAACTGCATATATAAATAAATATGTTTAATATTTTTAATAAAATATTGTTAATATTTTAACAATATTTAAATAATTTATTCGATATAAAAATTTTTTTGATTTATTTTGTTGAAAATTTTGTATTGACTGTTAAGTCACTAGCACTGAACCTTAACTGCTCTGACTGTGCCTCGAAAATTGGATTTGAAAGATAAGTTCAGCTATTTCATCACATGTGCAAATTCGTAGGTAAATAATGAATTTCACTATATTGTTTAAATGTATTTAGATTTGTTTACAAACAGCTGGTGCCATTAGTATAATTAATTAATGCCGGTAGTTGTAGTTGAACCCAAATGAGAGCGGCATACGAAAACTCAGTACGTTTTCGTATGCCTTGCACAAATTTAGATCGCGAGAGACGAGATGACGAGGCTTTCAGTTGAAAAGTATCTCTGATATACATGGAAGGTAAAGTGGGTTTAACTTATATAAGTATATATGATGAACAAAATTTATTATTAAAAACTTTTGAGTAAAGAGTAAATGTTAAGAGAAAAATTTGATAGGTGGATATCTCACAAAAAGTGAGATTGAGAGCAAAAAATAAAAATATTTTGTTTGTGTTAAACAAAGTATTAAACAAATGTTGAAAAGAAAAAGAAAGAAATAGTATAAACTTATATTAATAACATTTTGTATTGTAGTATAATATAAACAGAGATATAGTGAAGATGTCTGGAAAACATACAGCAACTGATTCAGTGCAAAATACAGCAATAACGATCGACTGTATAGATTTAGAAGAGCAGCCACAAACATCACAAGGTTCAGTCAATGCAAATACGAGTATTGAAAAAGAAGGCAATAACATTACCGTCCACATAACAACATTAAATTTTCTTAATGATGCTATTTGGAAAGCCCTCGAGGCTCAAGAACTACTAAATAAAGCCGTACATCAATTACGAGTCAGTTTAGGAAATACCGAAGGAACACAGGAAAGCGATTCCAACTTGAGTTCAGATGATAGTGAGTATGATATGATGACAAATCTGTATAATGATTTGCTTAAAAAAAGAGCAAAGAAACATCAACATCATCGTAGTTGTCGTTCGTGTCATTGTGTATCTCTATTAAGAACTCATAGGTGTTCACGTAGCCGCTCTCGTGAACGTTCACATGGACATCGTCATCCGATTTTGAGAGGACTTGCTTATGATTGTAAAAGCTGTCAATTAAGAAATCGCTTCTGTAACTGGTCAAGGAATTCATAGTTTTTGCAATTCCATTTAATTTCTAAATTTTCTTGACAAAAGTCGGTGTGTGTGTTTATGGTACGATTGTTTATAGTTTATATTAACTATTTAAATATAATCAAAAAATAAAAATAGATGATATATGATTATAAATGAAGCTACTTATTCGTATAATGTTTTTAATTTAAAATATAAGTATGTACTGAAATTTGTTATTAAAATAATTAATTTTTAAAAAATCATTATGGTTAACATAAAATAAAAACATATATAATATGTTAAATTTTAAAATAAATTAAAAATCATATAAAATTAAATTGTAATTACAACCCTGCGTTTTAATATTACACATATAGTATATAATAGAGTTATCATAAATAAAATCATAATAAATATAAATTGTATTGCTTAGAGTTTCCTCAAGTTGTTCCAAACATTTCTGTGCTAGTCAGTAGTCTACTCCAAGCCGTTTGCTGTCTGTTGTGGCACCAAGTAGCCTTTTGGTTTTATATCATATCAACATATGATATCATTATATTCTTTATAGAGCGTATCTTCTTATATCTTTTATTTCCTTTCTTCACCATAGTGTTGTTGTTGACTTGATTCGACAGCAGCCACAATTCTTCGTTGGAAGTGGTCCTCAACCACTAGATGTTATGAAGATGTCTGTTGATCATAATGAGTTTATTTCCTGTTTTAAGAATAATTGCAGATTAAATGAGTTTTTTATTAATCCCACGTACAATATTTATGTCTGGATCTGGCTTTATAAGTTGAATAAAAGGTCATAATATAGATTTCGTATTAATTAAAATAATTTTTAAAATTTAAAAATTTATATATGAAGTAGTTTATGAGTACCCATAGTATTCCCAGCAATTTGCGTAGAAGATTAGATATGGAGAGTTATGATACTTTGTTGATAACGAATAAAGGTTTGTTTTGGTTGTTATATATCAGACTCGTTCACAGTTTACTATTAGTCACCAGTCAATACTACTAACAACAAGTAATTTTAAATTAAATCAAATTAAATTAAATTAAATTAAATAAATCTAATTAACTGATCATGAAAAATTATTAGAAAAGTTTTTAAAAAGTGAAAATTTGTAATGTCAAAGGAGAAATCAGAATCAAAAACTTCAAAAGTTGAGGTTGTATTAGTTGATTATCAACCTATTATTGAACCAAGTAATAAAGCTAAAGAGATTGGTTTTATTGTAGAAGATATAATGAACTCCTTTAGTAATACATGCGAGCATTGTGACGTTGTGGTTGGACTCGAAGTCTATGATAAAAATGAAAGGAAACGCATAAAACATCAAGAAAAAATGTTGGAAAAGCAAATTAAGTATGAGAAAAAAGTAACAGAAAAACAAATAAAATATGAAAAGAAAGTTGTGAGAAAAGAACAGAAAGACTATGAGAAGAATGTGAGAAAAATGGAGAAAGATTTGCGGAAACAAAGGAGAAAAGAAGAAAAACGAATTTTTAAAGAAAACAAAAAATGCTGTCACTCGTCAAACCACTTCGAAATAAGTTCTGGTTCCAGTATAAGTTCGAACCACTTTGAAATACGATCCAGTTCTAGTTCCAGTTCAAGCTCAAGTTCCAGTGATTCAAACTGATGTCAATAAACATCAATTTTGTCTACAAACTAAATATGTTAAATACTAGAAGTGGAATTGCGTGATTCAATTTTTATTATAAAATGTTAAATAAATAAAAAAAATGTTTATTGTTTGTAAAATCGTATGTCTCTATTTTCTCTATTAAAAAATTGTTATAAATATTAATCGATATAAAATACAAAATATAGGTGATAAGATAAGAAAAGCTATTTCTGTTGATATGTTACTTTTAAAATCATATGTTTGTAAAGAATATACATACCACGCAAATAATCAAGAACAGTAGTACCGACATAGGAAATTTTATGGAAGGGTTTTTCAATTGAGACCTTATTCAATCACTGGCTTAAAGATTTAAAGAATTGAAATAATACAAAGTTATGTTGAGGTTTGAAAATATAAGCATATAGATTATCAACTAAATTAAAATGTAAGATGGGGCTAAACTGAGACTCCGATCTTTCTTGGTCTTTAGTTTTTGTGGTGGTGTCATTGTTGATAACAACATTGTTGATAAGATGAGTAAGAAGACGGGGTGGGATAATATTTAGATTAATTGAAAATCTTAGTATCTCATTAGTGGATTGCATGAATAGAAAAAATTTACATATTATCCAAATGACTTCAAAGCTTACGACGTTTTCGACAACCGTATTTTTGAAATCGAATAGATTTGTTTAGAAATTTATTACATATCATTAACATCAGTAGAAATTGCTTTTGCTAATAGATGTTGCCATAGGTTTAGTAAGAAAACTTTCCCTTGATAGGCAAACATAACTTTCTCACAAGTCACTTATTGAAAGAAAACTTTCTCTTGATAGGCAAACATAACTTTCTCACAAGTCACTTATTGTACTAGCTTATTATATGGTGAGAAAACATGGACAATAAAGTATAGCGATAAGCAATCGTTAGGGATTTTGAAAAAAGAAGAGATTGTCTAGGAGATGTGTTAAGGATTGCGGATGATATGCTTGTTATAAAAAATACAAAAAATAGCAATAGTTGGATATATGGAAACATACCTTCTTACAGAAATAAAAATCGAACACTGAGTAGCTGGCCATAGCTTGATATTAGTAACTGGCATCAATATTGAAGGCGATTCTTTTTTAGGCAGAAATATCGAATACTGGGTAAGATGTCATAGTGTGACATTAGTTACAACCAATAGTGTCAGTTTTAGACGTAAGTCATAGAAGATATTGAATGCAGTCAAGACCGATATGTGGTTGCTATAACTAGTTAACTAAGTAAAATCAGTTAATCAGACTAATATATCAGAAATTATGGAAGTCAGAGCGAAAAGATTGAATTGGGTTAAATATTTGAGTGTATTGTAAGATTTGAATGGAGTTTAGTTTTGTGATATTTTTCGAAGCAATTTGAGTTAATTAATATATTAATAGGTTTAAACTTAAATGAAGTTTACAATCATAAAATTAAGTTAACTCCATTACAAAAAAAAAAACAAAATTCTCTATTATGAAAATTTTTATTTAATTCTGTTTAATAGCTTCCATTTAGTATTTATATTTGTATAAAATACCATAAATTAATAATGACTCATTCGACTTAATAGCTTGCGACAATAAATTTTATTAATTGGATTTCGTTCTTTGTTTATTTGTTTGATTATTTGTGATTATCTGAAGAGCATGAAATGAATGTGAATGAATGTATGTCTGAGTAATTTTATTAGCATAGCCTGTCATGTACTCTACTGTAATTTGTTTAATAATTTGATTAAATTAATATGCCTAAAATGTATCCAGACCAAACACAACAAATTACATATAAATTACCCAAAATCCAAACACGGCAATAATCAATTTTCCATAATTTCATCGACAGCTGAATTATTGGAGCGCGCCTGTGAAAACATTAAATAAAACTAATTAAGTTGACACAACAACCTGTTGGACTTGGCCCCCCAAGGAGAGAATCAGAATCACCAACATCAGAACGAAGCAGCAACACCAGTTGCCCACCTACAAGTGCTACGCGTCCACCATAAACGGTGTTTCCATGGGCCATTAATTATCAATAAGTTGTGCTCCTGCATGCAATTTGCAGTTTAGAATATGGAGTTTATCAAAATGTACTTCCCTCCGCCGGCAATCAGGATTTATTGAACCCTTTCAACATGGCGAAAGTGGTTCGGTTTTATGCATACGTTTGCATAAATCAAGTGCTTACAGAGCTGCTCTGGAGGTTGTTGGGGGAAATTATGGTGCAATTTATAAATCTATTTTCACTGCAGTCAGGTATGCACAAAGTGGTTTGTATATCAAAATGAATGTATTCACGCAGAAGAAATATCGTACACTTAGGTTGAGCACACTCCGGTGTAAGCAGTGCTCTTGCCGTTCATATCAAATAAAAAACAGAAATTATTATTGTGTTGGCTTGTGTATGGGTATACCCAGTATTTCTTTTCTAAAAACGAAAAAAATGTGGGTACACTGTGCTCTTTATTTGTCATTATAAGAGTAGCACAAAATGTAGGGGCACAATTCATTACTCTTAACCGCAGCAATTTTAAGAACAAGAATGTGGGAAATAGTGGGGGCAGATTAAAATTTAAAAATAGTGGGAATAACCAGTTTCTAAGATGTTAAATATTTACTGTCGTACTTAACGACCGGTACGAATACAAATGTTAGAGTGAAAGTTCGTTTTTTTATATTGACGAAATCTATTAATAAAGAGGAAGAATACTTTAGAAGAATAATTAGTAGTTTGAGGCAGACTTTAATATTTCAGTTGAATTTAGAGACCCTTGCAATCAGTTCATGTTCTGTTTTCTGGGGCAACTATCTATTTTAAAAAATAAACCAATCAGGGGTTGCCTTAATACTAACTGATAAATAAGTCTTATCAGCCCGATTTGACAGATTCTTAAAGGAATTGGCCAAAAATATTAGCAATGTCAGAGCAAGTTTGACTATTAAAGAAGAAATAATCAAGTCCATAATAAGACACTAAAGTTTTAATATAAAAATAAATCACTGCTTTAAGCGAGTTAGTAATGCAGTCTACATAGGCCGTGTGCGAGTTCGAGTAAATTGGGGGTAAAGTAAATTAAAATTTCGTAGGAATTTTTTGCACTGCAAAAAATTTTTGTAAATATTTATTTATTGTATTTATTTATTATTTTTTGGTTAAAAGTTTTTCAATTTATATATTTATTTATTTATCATCTTATAAAATTTTCAAAAGGGTAACAACTAATTTACCCAATGCGAAATTCTGGTAAATACCAACATTTGCTGCCATACTGACATAATTTATTATTTCCCTAAATTTATTATCAATTTACTGAAACTCGTACACGGCTATAATAACCAATATAGTATTTTACGGACAAATAAATTCCAATTAGATCATTTCAAAACTTTTAAATATGGACTTGTAGCGAAAAGTAGTTATCAGACCAATTTTAGCTTATAATATGAAAGATATTCCGGCAATAATAGCTGCTTACAAGGAATCACTGCGAATATATAAAAGAAAGGCTATGTGTAGGATTTCAATGCAAATCAAATCATGTAACATTTGGTGGAAACAAGAATCATTTTAGGAGTTTTAACAGTGCATTTCAGATTTAATTATTGTCTGACAATATTAGAAATTACTTTAGTAGAACATGTAGGCTTTGCAGGGACGCGAATGGGACTCAATATCATGAGATGAGAGTCTGCTTGGCACTGTAGCATAAAAAGAGAAAATACTTATGTGGGCATCTGATATTGGATAAAAATATAAGCCTCGGTGAAGTAGGTTCAATACAACAATTTATCGAGGAAGTCGGGCTAGGAGAAACATTTCAATGCCAAGAAAGAATAACAATAGATTTCTAGATTGCCGTGCTTAATTCTTCAACATAATAATTATAATTTTAAGGCCCATTAGCATGAAAAATAAATTATTATCTACATTTTTTTTTTAATTTTTTTTATTTTTCATATTTATTTGACTTTTTTTGGATATGTACTTTATATTTATGGTATGTACTCGTTGTAAGATTTTGCTTGAAAAAGGAAATAAATTTTAAAAATCATTAGGAGAAAGGATTATTTTTTTAACCGAGAGTCTTTTTACTAGAATTTTATGTCATTTTTTACAAATGGAGGTAATAAAATGAACCAAAGAAATTAAATTTTATAGATAAACACAAAAAAAATGCCAATAATTCTCTGAATGAATTTCATACTCTTTGTCCTTTTTTTCTCAGTACCGCACCCACTAAATCCATTTTTATGTTTATTACTGTAAAGTAAACAATTTGTTATTTACTACTTACATAAAATGGAGGCATGTAAAAGGTCGGGTAGTAAACAGGAAATAGCCATGCAAATATTGTACACTTCTCTCCTTTGGTCTTTCGGTCCTTCGCTCTATCGCCTGTTAAGCTTATGATTGATTGGCGTGCGGGGGGTCACTGCGTTAACAGAGCGTCTCTGCGTCTCTGCGCACGGCAAATTGTTTATAATTACATATTCCGTTCACGCATATTACTTCGTTAAAATATTAATTTTTATGTTGAAAAGGGCGAAATAATTCATTTTGACTTAATCAAGACAGCACAAACAGTAAACATGACATGGAAACTTATTTGGGTCAAAAATGCAGACAAGCGGTACGAAAATAAAAATTGCTTTTCAAGAATTTGCGGAAAAATTCACTAAGCGTGGCGTGAACGCACTTAAAACCTTTGCCCGGCTGTCAACGTGCCCCGCTCCAGGAAATGAAACTCAAACAAACAAACAAACACACAAGCTTTTTAAGGTATAAAAGGCTTCATTAATGCTTATTCTGTGATTAAATTGAAAAAATTGCATTTGAAGAAAATTATTCATTCGCATTTATTTTCAAAAATAATGCGAGTGCTTTGAATGCGACTCAAATGAAGTAAGTACGTAGGAAAGCAAGGATACTGCATGAATCCTTTGCACAAACCACACTCACACACACACACACTCACACACACA